TTAAATGACTGTTCAGTACAGAAATGAAGCCCAAAAATCATGTTTTACTGTCCTGTGGTCTCAGCCTCAGATACTTATCAAATCACACAAAGCTCTTGTAGAAACAAACAAATAAATGAACAAAATATGTTCTCCTTCATTTCTGTCAAACAAAGTTGTATGACATGTTTCCAGCGGTTAGTATCATGGTTGCTAGGCAACCTGGGAAGCGCAACGGAGACTAAACCGTCTCATACATACAAACTTGACGTTTATTTTGCAAATCGAGCTCAACACTGCCCCTAGCGTCCTGGAGCACTTCCGTTGTGTTTTAAAATTTGCATGTGTTTTGGAGTTTGCAAGTGTTTTGGAGTTTGGACGTGTTTTGGAGTTTGCAAGTGTTTTGGAGTTTGCACGTGTTTTGGAGTTTGCAAGTGTTTTGGAGTTTGCAAGTGTTTTGGAGTTTGTACGTGCTTTGTCTCTAGGGGCCACCGTAGAAGACACACTTAGATCACATCTTTATTAATGCTAGAAATGAGACAAAGCAACTATCCATCCATCCATCCATCCATCCATCTTCTTCCGCTTTATCCGGGGCCGGGTTGCGGGGGCAGCAGCCTAAGCAGAGAAGCCCAGACCTCCCTCTCCCCAGCCACCTCCTCCAGCTTATCCGGGGGAACACCAAGGCGTTGGCCCTAAAGAATCCAAAAGAACTGAAATTTAATACCCAGTAACCCTATCCCGGGTAGGGTAAATTGTTTCCTCGATGTTTTCTTCATAAGGGTCTTCTGAAAGCAACTAAACAAAGAGAAAACACTGTTACAACCCATCTAGGGCCAGGCAATAGCACGATTGAGGCACTCGCGCTCCCCTAAACACCCAAGCAGTGGCAGGAAACGAATCTGTTCTTTATAATGTGACAAAAAAATGGGAGTGTCAACACTTTAGGGTGAGCCAAGGCCAAAATAATAAACAAAGCTAAAATCTAAACAAATCCCGCACCCCTGACCTTACCAAAAGTCAAAAGTAAAGACAGGGTCTGACCTCCTTAACTAATTCAAAACAGGAGAAAACTGGTGGTCAAAAGAAATGGCAGCTCACCCCTGCCCACTCCACTTCCACAACTTCAAAACAGCACTGCAGTGGTACACTGCTGGGTCGTGAGGAGAAACGTGAGAACCTCTCCCGCCGCAGCACTCCAGCCTCCTTTTAATGGGCTGGAACCAGCCACGTCGGAGCTGTATATCCACACACCAATCGGAGCAGGGCCCTGGCACAGCTGAATTAACATAAACAGATGCATTGATTGCACAAAACAAACACATAAAAACAGGGTCAAAGACCCCAGACCAGACAGTTCAGGCTCCACCAGCCTCCTGAAAGCCAGGTTGCTTCACTTTTCTAGTCAAACACTTAAAAAGAGGCACCATGGCAGCTCAGTGGTTGTCTGGTGGTCTCCCTGTGTTTGCGTGGCTTTTCTCCTGGTTCTCTCTCCCAGAAGGTTGATTCTGTTCATCTAGACATAGTGTTTTCAATGGGAGAAACGTTTTCTTCAGTCTTACTTACATGGATGATTGAGCATGCATCAAGACATTTTAATCCTGGTTCTCTGGTTTCTTCCATCATTAAAACATGCTCTCTGTCTCGGAGCATGTCACTCTCATCAAAGACCTTTTTAATCTCAAGAGTGTAACTTCTTGGTCAAATAAAAGATGAAATAAATACTACTAATACTAAATTCTTGAACTTTGCTGACAATGTCCAATTGTGTAGTTTGGCACTGTTAACACGACAATCCCAAACTAGATTCTGCATGTGTACCATCAGCATGACTCTGTAAAGTGTAATGGTACTAAAAAGGTCTGCATGCAGTTTATACCTGTCACCCAGCGATTTTCAGTGAATTTTCTCTACATTAACACAATTTAGAGTTCTAGAACAGCGGTCTCCAACCTTTTTTGTGCCACGGATCGGTTTATGCCCGACAATATTTTCACGGACCGGCCTTTAAAGTGTCGCGGATATTTACAACAAAATAAAACTAGTACCGATACCGAAAAAAAAAAGATTTATTCATAACACACGTGAAAAGACCCAGGAAAACCGAGTTAATGATAAAAACGATAAAAACCCTGAAAACCATACATTTCACACCCGAGCCTCAACTCTCGCGGCCCGGTACCAAATGATTCCCGGACCGGTACCGGTCCGTGGCCCGGGGGTTGGGGACCGCTGTTCTAGAACATAACAGCGATGGTGATCAAATGTTCAAATAGATGATTCTTAAGTTTGTTGTTCCCCTTTTGTGTTGGTGAACTTGTTGTAGGGGTTATTCTGGCAGATTATGGCTCTAGTTGGAGGGAACATCGTCGCTTTGCTCTGATGACTTTGAGGAACTTTGGTCTGGGGAAGAACTCGATGGAGGACAGGATTCATGAAGAGATTAAATACACCGTCAATACCCTGGAAAAGAGCATTGGTATGTCATTTAACATAGAATTGTTCATTGTGCTGGTGTTTCTGTTGTTCTTGTGTATTCCTTTGGTTTTTATAACTTACATTACGCCTCCCACAGGTAAAACCATGAGTCCTCAAGTTATGTTTCACAATGCAGCGTCCAACATCATCTGCCAGGTCCTGTTTGCTAGACGCTACGAGTATGACAACGCGCTAATCAAAGTGATTGTTAGGTGCTTCACTGAGAATTCCAGGCTAGCCAATGGCCCGTGGGCTATGGTGAGTAAAACAGCAACAAAATGATAAAATAAAAGAAATGACTTAATTATTGGAAATACAGCATCCTGTAACCATCTTCTGTTACAACTGAAGCATAAAGGAAAATAAACGATTGTCCTTCTTTGCAGCTGTATGACTCTTTTCCTTTAATTCGTTACCTACCACTGCCCTTCATGAAAGCCTTCAAGAATGCAGAGGTAACATTTAAAATCCCTTTAATTACATTGAAATAATCTGTGTATTTCATCAATAATAAGAAAAAGTCAATGCTAATACAGTCATAGTTACTTGTGTTTTTTTAGACAGTTGAAAATCTTGTAAATGAGTTTGTAAAAGAGCACAAGAAGACCCGAGTTCCCGGAGAGCCACGGGACTTTGTTGACTGCTATCTGGATGAACTGGAGAAGGTGTGTGTGAAATGAGGAGTTTACTATCCCAGATATTATAATATAGCAATTGATTACATTTAAAATAACTAGAAAAAATAGATTTTACATTAAGGAGACTACACATATGGCTGTGATCTTTTCACCCTGTAACAACAAAGTTGAATTTCCTTATTTGCATAAATCTTGAAATCATTCCTCTGATTCAGAGAGGAGATGATGGGTCTTCATTTTCAGAAGACCGGATCTGTCTGTACGCTTTAGACCTTTACTTTGCTGGCACTGACACTACATCCAACACCCTACTTACTGGATTTCTTTACCTTATGAACTATCCGCATGTACAAGGTAAACCTGCATATTTTCTTATTTTCTTTCAGTTCAACTGATATTTGTCCATTTAAAATTGGTTGCATTTACCTTTGTGTGACACATGCCACTTATATGCTGTAGACTATGACAATCAATGGAAAGCAACTATTTTCAATTGGTTTAACTCAACATACTGCTGATTCACTGAATATATTTGGTATAATGTTGTTGTGTATCATTGCTTGTGGTGACTGCAGTGTGTAGACGGTAATGTGTTGCCCTGCTCTGGCAGAACGGTGTCAGCAGGAGATAGACCGAGTGTTGGAAGGGAAAGACCGAGTCAGTTTTGAGGACAGACACAAGATGCCCTACGTGCAGGTGCCGTACAGCAAAGTTTTATTCACTGTTGAACTTATTTTTAAGGTGCTCACCTGGTTCTGGGTGCACACATACATTCTGCTCCAAGCCAAAGCATGAGAAATGTCTTCTCTTCATCCAGGCTGTGATTCACGAGATACAGAGAGTTGCCAACACTGTTCCTCTCAGTGTCTTCCACTGCACCACTAAAGACACAGAGCTGATGGGTTATTCCATTCCCAAGGTAAGGGCCAACTGGTTAAATAGGTAGAGGCAATAAAGTGACGAGCATCCTTAATGGTTTTGAGGTTGATTTCGTCCTCAGGGAACAATGATCATCGAGAATCTGACCTCAGTGCTCAGCGAGGAGGGACAGTGGAAATTCCCTCATGAATTCAACCCTGAAAACTTCCT